TGTCATTAACTTAATCAAAGTACAGAGTTTCGAAGAATGGTGTGACTCATTCGAAAAAATAGGAAAGTGCAAAGGAGTTATATATGCTCAATTCACAAAAAAGGCTAAAAAAGTATCCTTGGTGCAAAAAATACTCCGACAGATCTAGTAAAGAAATTTGCATTATATCTCCAATAAGAGCAAACCACTGCTTAACAAGGTCCTACCTAAATAGACTAAAGATAATTCCCAGTGACTTGTGCGATTGTGGACAAAGTCAGGACTTACAGCATATTTTTTTCTCATGTTCAACGAATCAACGCAATATAAAAGAAAATAGGTTTAAAATACATGTTAGCAGTTGTCATAAAGCATATTTAAGTATGTTCCAATGTTAAAAGGTTCTATTAAAGTAATTACAGTTAATTGCTTCTATCTCTTGAACGGACCAAGTTATCAATCTGATATAGAAATAATAAGATGCAACATGTTTTACTTCAACCTCATGATAGGGTTATTAAATTTTATGTAATTAAGGTCCTTCTGTCACTTAAAGAATAATCAATGACAGCCGGTTACTGGGTAGAATTTAAAAACCTGTTTATAACATTGTTTTTAATAGAAAGGATATTAAGCTGATTGGTCGGAAGGATTAAGGATATGTGGTATCCTTTTGCCTTACTTTTGGAATAAAGGTGTCTCTGGTCCTTCTTCATGATTCTGTTATATATATACCAGTTCCAGACCGCTCTGGGATATCCAAAAAAGCAGGGTAGCAAATATTCCTTTACACCTGGTGATTTAAACGGTTCAAATGCGTTCACGGCCTACTTTTAACCGATTGCTGCTGCAAATGGGTTGGCCCCTGGAACGGCCTCTCTTGAGGACCTGCTTACCTTACTTATGTCCCTTATTAAAAAAAGTGTGCTCCCAGGAAAGTGAGTTTCGAGTAAGAGACGAGCTTTTTTTTCCTCACCCTCCTCCTTTGTTTCTTTAGAGCCATAGCTGTATCCACTCTCCTTTTTTCCAGAGCCGTGTGCTGTCTTGCTGCCGCAGATGTAAAATTAATCTCCTCGCAAAATTTCCTAAAACTATTACGTTAATCTTTCTTTATTTTTATTTTTTTTTTTTGGAGTGAGGGTAGCCATATGTGAGTAGTAGGGATTAAGTGTAAGGGGTTAAAGAAAAGGTCCTTTATTTCTCACAAGTCAATTTAATTGGCGACCGGTTTCGAAGCTGTCACTTCATCATCAGGCACACCTTGACTATTTCCATAAAGGAACTTTATGTAGCGCTTCCTCTATGGAAATAGTCAAGGTGTGCCTGATGATGAAGTGACAGCTTCGAAACCGGTCGCCAATTAAATTGACTTGTGAGAAATAAAGGACCTTTTCTTTAACCCCCCCCCCCTTACACTTAATCTTTATTTTTATGTTGTAGATGGTAAGTACCTTGATGTAATTCTGTCAATCTCCGCTGTGGCCCTGTTCTAGAGTTTTAGTACTTCAGATCTTAAGTTTAATAGATTACTGTTTCAACACGGAATGTCTCTACTAGTTCTATTTGGATGAATGGGACAGCTTGACTCATATGCCTCAAGTATTGCCTCATTCAGTTTTTATAGATCACTTTCCAGAGCTAGTGGGTGTCTGAGTCCCTGTTTAGTCTGGATACGAGCTAAATTTTGTTTTAGAGTGGTGTTGTATTTATCTCAGTCTGTTTTCGTAGAAATATTCCTGAAGATCATATCAGGCTGTCGTTATCTAATTTAAACACAATTATCTTGTGATCAAATAGAGATGGTTCACTCCATATTTAATGCTCGGTGTACTTTATGTTATATCTAATACCTCACATCTTGTTACAAATGTTGGAGTATTCCCAATATTTTGTACAATAAGGTTCTTATTATAAATATATTCTAGAAGTTGCTCACATCTTTGATTGGTGTTGTTGCTTCTCCATATGGTACTGAGCGCATTGGTATTGCATCCAAGAAGTGATGGCAGATTTCTTCTCTAACCTCGATACTTCCGGGGATGGTACAGGCCCATCTCTTACGAAGTAACTAGAAGTTATTACTATGTCTTGCCGCCTTGTGATACTTAAAGCCTTTTTTAACAAAATAATATATTTAAATTGCGATTCCTAAATAATTCGTCTTCAAAATCAAATATTTTAGAATCTTCGTGGATGAATTTGAAACATTTATTCATTTTTTGCCATCCCTATACCACCGAGTTCGTAATAAAATTATTTTTATTTTATAATATCGGCTTACCTGTTTATATCGGCCAGGAAAAACGTAATCAACCCTACTTTCGCATTTAATTTACATCTTTTACTTTCCATTGGTTTTACATTTTGTAAGAAAAAACACCGTAACTATTGATAAAAATTTAAATAAACAATTTTTAATTAAAAATAGCCTGGACCGGATAACGGGCGCCAATCCTGGCATGTTGGGTTTATTTAAACATTACCTATATTCTTAAAAATATATATTTAATTAGGATAAAGGACGAAGGTCGATTTAAGGATCCACCCGCCTAACACCTTACAGACAGGTCCAGGATCAGACTTTAATTGGATGTCCCAACCAATGGAAAACTTTAGTTTTTCAGATGATGATAATTTACCTAATATTAAAAAATAACAAAGACTAAAATTATGTCTTAAAATAATTATTGATCTGTTTTATCACAAATATATTGTTACGCTGGTTTTTGCTATCACAATTTATTTCAATTCAACTTTACAATAACTCAATTCAATTTTAACAATAACGATACAACTGATAACATTAACATGTAACGTCTGTCATAAACTGCCAACTGACGTCAGGTCGTCGCCTTATATAGCTTGCCTCGACCTTCTACAACCTTCTCGAACAATCTGGACTTTTCTTTGACAAGGAATGACATTTCGAGACATTTCGGGAATATTCTATCTTCTTCATTATTTCGTACCTTTACTTATGACGCACACTGTAGAGGGATGAGTAACATTCCACTTCTTTTTTCTATAAGTACGTTTCCTATGATAGCCGCAGGCTACTGCAGGGTGCTGCGTAACAATATTATATAACTTGTCTCGTCTTCCTGCAATATTTCACCTTTATTTTCACTATTTTTCACCCTCAAATGATCTCCAACGTGCTATTGCTAATAAAAATTATTTACCGTCCACAAATTCAAAATAATATACAAAATAAATAATATTTTCCCTAAATATTATCTCAACCAGCTACGCCACTGGTTTTTACAACCATACATTACCATATATTCTGGAATACGAAAAAAACTTGTGCGCTGATAAAAATACATTAGATCGAAAATGTTGAAGCAAATTATTAAATTGTTTCTAAGCGATGGAAATTCATCACTCGATGTCTTCTACTGTATACTATTTGCGATTCAAGCTAAGTGATACGCCCTCTGAAGGAAATTTGTAGAAGGTTCGTATAAGTAGGATATCGTTCAGTGTTGCCAGAAGTAGCAAAATTTCGCTACGTCGTCGGATTTTAGCTCTTGAAGAAGTGGATAAGACCTTTTATTTAAGAATCAAAATTTGTGTTAGGATTTTTTTATAAAACCGATTTATTATATTGATTTTTTTTAAATTTCAGTTCATTTATTAATTTTGTTTTAAAATCAGTTCATCATTTGGCAACATTGGCGTTCGTGTTCATTATTTACATTTTAAATTGTATCAATTACAATTCGAGTTTTTTTCTTACTTTTTAGCTTTAAATTTGTTTATTTCTTATAGTAGGTGATAGTGTTTATATTAAAAATGAAATCTGCGAAAAAGTCCCCAGAAAATTGCAATCTATATGGTGTTAATGTCAAAATCAAAACTGAAGTATTCATTATTTTCCAAGTGCAAGCCGTAAAATTTTGTTTTTTACCATACATGGATATCTACAAATTCACAATATTGAAATTTTGCAAAACTTTGTTTAGAATCAAACTGTAATCTGATTTGTAACGGTTTTATTACCATTTACATGTATACAAAGTACTACATGATTCACTTCATAATATAAGAATAAGTCTAGTAAGATTTTTAAATAAGTTCATTAATAATAAACGTGTGCTACTTGAAATGTCCTTTAAACCACATAATAAAACATGTCCTGGGCTTAGTAAATACATAGTGTAAATACATATTTCTAGATGTTCTTGTAGCAACAAATAGGTGAATAGTTCCGACAAATTAAGCGATACACATAATAAATATTATATTTATGACGAAAGCACGAGACTTAAACTTGATAACACTAAATGAAACTCAAAAACACTATTACAATGAGAATATTATCTAAAACCAAAACAAACACATGTAAATAAACAAACATCCTACTTATAGGTGACAAATGACAAGCGCGCGAAAATTAATTTGAATCGCCCAGTTAAAGTGGGGATATAACGTCACATTCCATAGGCGTACCTTGCAAAATAAGTTTCTATAATATAAATAAGATCACAGCATATAAAATGGTATATACGCACTTCGTAAATTAAGTCTTGAATGAAAAAAGTTCGCACTCCATAAATAATTTATTTAAAAGTCCAATTCACTCTACATATATACCGTTGTCATATTATTGCACGTTTTAAATTTGTATATTAACAAATTAAGAGCCGATCTTTTTACCTATAAGTAAAGTTACATGAAAGTTTACTTGACAGATTAACTAACAATAACCCTATGGTTTAATCAGCAAGTAGTTACTTTCAACTTTACTCAGAGGTGAATAGATTGGCTCTAAGTAAAATAAATATAAAGGGAGAGCATCAAGTGTAATAACAAGAACATTTTTCCAGTCGTCTCTACTTTCATAAATTTCTAACTCTTTTTTCTCTCTCTGCATATATATTTATCATTTGTCAGAATACATTTTAGCTAGATTCGAACGTAAATCATACATATATCATACGAAATCTAAAAGTTATTTGATACAAGTTCACAATAGCCGTACCAACCAACAAAAAGGTTTTTTTTTTCTTTTTCTACAGCCACGTTTCCAGACAATGCAGTGACAAGTGATTCCCGACAGTGCCTTAAGGAAACCTCTCCAGGATCTATTACTTTCGACGTTTCGATAACAGGTAAGAGTACACTGTGTACAAAACGATTCAGCATATTCAAAATAGCGAGTTTATACAGAATGTCCCGTGCGAATTATTGTAGCTGCCAGAATTAAATTTTCAATTCAAAAAAGTAGAATTTTCATTAGTAAGTATAATTACATAAAAAGGTTGCTTAGCAACTGCTTTCGAGTATGATACTTTATTACTAAGATTAGACGTGTTAGAGTTTGAAGAATTTGAAGAAAAGTCGTCGAGTCTAAGAGAAGTCTTCTCGTGAATCTCTTTTTTTAGAATATCGACAATTTCGTTTTTGAAGCTAGAGAGCTCATCTAATTTTTCCTATGGATGGTTTTTTGAACTACATCGCAAATGTTGGATAAATTATAAGTTGTAATATGACTAGTGAAGGATACAATACACATTGCTTTTTTTCTGCCTAATGGTCTTCATCAGTACGGTGCAGCTAAGTTTAAAGGATCATGGAACTTGTGTTGGAAAAATTGTACAATAAGAGAGGTTACTAATAAGGAGCCAATAACGCATTTTCGATTTCAGCCAGTATACAGCTAATTTTTTGGGCTTATACCAACGTCACAAAATAATCCGATGGTCTTCCTATGGCTATCAGCAATTCTTTCTTAAAATCTTTTGGTATGGCTACAATAAAACATACAAATTATTTGATTTTGTAAATACACAAATATTTGTGTCAACTTACACATGAAATATTATTCCGTCCTTGTATCTTCTACCGTAAGATGCATTGTTACATCCAGGTACAAAACAACAAAACATTTTTTTGGAAATCCTGTAAAAATGTAACACCAAACTACAAATGTTTTTTATTACAATAAAACACTAAACGATTAAACTAAAAAATAATGTTTTAATTAAAACATTTACTAGAAGAACAAAATAAACCATACAACAGTTAATAAAATCGATATGACGGTACAGAAACGATTCCAGAATCATCCATATTTTAGTTGGAACCAATTCTGTATCAACCCGCACATCGTACAAATTAAGTTGGAACGCTTGGAGTGTATTAAGCATGCGCTGTACCGTTACTGAATCGTTTTGTATCAAGTTGGAACAAACCAATTGTTAAATCTGTTAATATTTATAAGTAAGCAATTTATATATATTCGCTTCAATACTCTATATTTTTGGTCATATTATAGTTAAAATATTATTTTTATGGTTTTTTGTTCTTTTGTGACAATTTGATAAACATTTGCTTAATTTTTTGCGTATATCGTTATGAAAACGGATTTAAAAAAGTTATAATTTTGGCTCTACAAACCGAGGCATAGCCGACGGCCCACCCTGTATATTATACACTTGAATAAAAAATTGTATTTTCTAATTATCCAGGTAACCATTTGGAAATTCCTCGAAGCGGAGGTGACAATCCGAACCTTCTCAGTCCAGAAACCATCAACCAGAGGAGAAATTCCAGAAGACCCAGCATCCTTCCTGTACCAGACATGTTCACCAGCAGCAGCCTTAACATCGCTCAGGATGTCACTGACGAAGGTGATGAAAGCGAAGACGAGCTAGAAGACGATGTACCCTGGAGATCGCCTAGCGAGAAGATAGCGTAAGTCAAGTTCAGGAATTTTTATGGATTTTTGTGTGTATCGTTATAAAATAATTTTGAAATGTTAGATGATTGTAAACGTTTAATGAAAATAAGGTTCGATTTGAAAAGATAAATACTTTCTGATGTAGCTAAGGGCAACACTGACGCAAACCTCTGAAAATTATTACTTCTACAATGGGAAATCTCAAAACAAAATGGATTGAAAAAGTTTTTTACAAATTAAAATAATCAATTTACTGTAACTGATAAATACGTTTTTGATTTTTTTATTCATATTTGAGAAAAAACCTAAAAACGCGTCTTTCTTTGTTTGTAAAACATGGTCTTTATCAAAAGATGGGTTTTCTAAGATTTATTAAAACTAAAAATAAGCCATAATAGATGAATCGCAGTCATAGAATTAATAAAAGACCGATATATAAAAACAATTTACTCCATTTTTGATTTTTAACATTGGTTTCTGCACAGACGTACTCATTTGTAACCAACATTCGTATAGGGTTAGCTGCTCCCCTTATTTTCTGAATTGAAGGGTGGGGCTTATGATACCTCATTTTAAAAGGATTTTTATTCCCTATTAATCATTATATTAGAATTTGTTTTATTTATAATTATTAGATATTGAAAACAAAAAATTAAAGTAGTATACCCTCCAAATAACTTTACTACGTTTATATTGTTTTTCTGGAAAATATTAACTAATCCAAGGAGCATATAATACCATCCCTTAAATATTCAGAAGCTTAATATATTTTACATTTTTTTGACGTTTTTTTGACAGTACACGAAATTTGCTCTGAAAATTTTTACACAACAAAGTTACCATCCTGGTAAAAAAACATGTATATACAGGAGGTTCAATTATTAATGGGACATAGAACAACTGAAGGTTCTCTGATTAAAAATAAGACGATTTAAAGAAACATGCTTACGTAAAATATTACTCGTTTTCCAAATACAGGGTGTTAAAGTTGTAAATTCGAAAAAATATAATGCCTATAATTTTTTTATTACTTAGTATAATTTTACTAAATTTGGTAAAAGTTTTTGAGCAAAAAATAAGTAAAATAAACTTTGCCAGTGACGTACGGCATGGGTAAGTAATACCTTCGTCCTCATTAAATTTTACGCCACTGTCCAAAAACTTATTTTGACTATAATTTTAATTTTTTTCTTAAATTAAATTATGTACTCTTATTAAAAAAAAATCCAAAATTTCAATATTTTAGAAATTCAAAATAAATTAAAACTAGAATGAAGAATATAATGCTTAGCATTCTATATTATACTGTTCATAGTTTAACAGACCCCTTAACCCCCATTTTCAATCAGATTTTTTTTTAGATTCGATAGGCTGAAGATTTAGTTTATATGTTGAACCCGTTTTAAATTTATATGTTTCTGATACCCCCAAACCATAATTATTGATAGAATACAAACAATTAACAGTCTATTAAGAACAGAACACTTAAATTTTGAAGAAAAATAATTAATTATAAACCTTTATCTGGAGTACGCAGACATATTTTATCTAGAAGGTGACAAATCAACTTTTACTAATGAAATAAAACATTCAATCGAAACCAATAATGTCAAACCAGTTTTTAACAAATCTTATAGATACCCGCAGGTACATAAAGAACAGGTAAAAACTCAGATAAAAAAAATGTTAGACCAAGGTATTATACAACCTTCGGTCTCTCCCTGGTCCTCTCCTGTATAGGTTGTACCCAAAAAACTCGACGCTTCGGGTAAACCGTAGTTATCGACTACAGGAAATTAAACGAACTTTCAGTAGATGACAAATACCCACTTTCTAATATCTCTGACCTCTTGGATCAATTAGGCAAGTGTCAGTATTTTTCGACATTGGATTTCGCTTCTGGTTTTCACCAAATTGAGATCGAACCTAAAGATATACCAAAAACTGCATTTTCCACATTACCAATTTGTACGAATGCCTTTTGGGTTAAAAAATGCTCCCTCCACCTTCTAGTGCGTCATAATCGTTTATTCTGCAACAATACAGGAACATATACATATTGATATATTTAAAATTAATTTATATCTAAAACTGAAGCTCTCTTAGCGCTCTATGATCTGGTTTTTACAGAATTAAAATATCTCCATTACTTACCAAAATATCCGGACTGAGAGTTTTTATTGGTACACCCTGTAGATAGTCTATCAGAAGTATTTAAGTGCTTGCGAAAAGTAAATTTTAAAATACAACCAGATAAATGCGAATTCTTCCGAAAGGAAGTCGCATATTTTACAAAATTTTCCAAAGCCAAATAATCCCAAAGATATTGTTTTTTTTTTAATTTGGTGTCATCGGCATCGACTACTAAGGTCATTAGCCTCGCGTTCTGTGTAGGCTTTGTTACTGTTTCCCAGCGCCACTTAAGGAACAGTACTGTTAATTAGAACCCAACAGTCAATGGTCGAGTGGGGAATCCTACCAAGGCATCAGAATTAATTTTAAATAATTAAATTAAATAAAAAAAATCCCGGCCAACGGTGGGATTCGAACCTGGGATCCTTGAATCCGCAGGCAGAGACTCTACCACTGAGCTACCCACCCCCCAAGGATATGAAATCCTTTCTAGGGTTAGCGGGCTATTACCGTCGATTCAGCCCTAATTTTGCTAAGATATCGTTCCGTTTTCTATTCAGAATGCGATTCTTCTTTTAATAAATTAAAACATACTGATATCAGATCCCATTCTTATTTACCCAAACTTTAAGAAACCTTTTATACGTACGCTAGTGCTTTCGCAATAGGAACAGTCCTTTCACAATACTCCACTATTGAGAGATTTTTTTTTTTTCAATATTTAAACCCCCCTTATCTCCCTATTTTTATTTACTTTTTTATTAATTTCCTTATAGAGCTTGATTTTTACTAAACATTTCATGTTATTATCGCTGGTTTTTGATTTCTATTTTTTTTTATTTCAACCCCCCTTAACCCCCATTTTAATTCAAATTGTTTTCAAAATCAATAGGCGTCATCTCCTTATAAAGCTTGATTTATCCTAATGATTTCAATTTAATATCGTTTTTTGTTTTTGATTTGGGATTTTTTTCAATATTTCAACCCCCTTATCCCTCATTTTTATTCAGATTTTTTTTCAGAATCAATAGGCTTCATTCGTTTATAGAACTTGAATTTTTCTAAAAATTTCATGTCGATATTATTTTTCGTTTTTGAGTTAGGATATTTTTAAACATTTCAACCACCATTAACCCTTAATTTTTATTAAATTTTTTTCAGAATAGGCTTTATCCTGTAGATTTCAATTTGATATCGTTTTTGTTTCTGGGTTAGGATTTTTTCAATATTTCAACCCCCCCTTAGCCCCCATTTTTGTTCAGTTTTTTTTTTAGAATTAATAGGCTTATAATTCCTGTATAGAGCTTGATTTTTATCAAAAATTTTATGTTGATATCGCTTTTCATTTTTCATTTATGATTATTTTTTTAAATTTTAACCCCCCTTAAACCCCCATTTTTAACCAGATTTTTTCAAAAATAAAATTGATTTTCCCCCTTATCGAGCTAGATTTTTGCTAAAAATTTCAAGCGAATATCTTTTTTCTTTTTTGAGTTAGGACTTTGTTTAATATTTCAACCTCCCTCAACCCCCCTCACTTTAATTCACATTTTTTTCAAAGATTTTACGAGCTCTTGAACCACTTCAATTGCATGTATGGGGTATTGAAACTTATCTTCTATTTCGAAAGCGGAAGTTTTTCAAGCATAATAAATGAAAACGTTTGATAAAAAAACAAAAATAAAATCTAAAAAACTTAAACTTAAGTTTACAATCATGTAACATATTTCAAATTATAAAATCTATCAATGATGTCTAAGCACTGTGCACTGTGCATACAGAAAAGTGTACATATGCATGGTAAGCATAACCACATCTATATATTTATGTTTTAAATATATTTACTATCACAAGCACTTCATCTTCCTGCTTCTTTCTTTATGTTTAATTCTATCCTTTTAGTGTTAATTGTGCTTTCTCTGTTTTTCTCACCTGAACGCTATATTTTCCTTTCCTTCTTCAAGTAACAGCGATACCAATTTTCTCCAAATTTTCAAATACTATATTTTATAGAAAAAAAAGTAGTATTTGACTCAAGATGGTGTCGTGGTAAGTATATCTTCCGAATTAGCTCTCGGAAATAAATTACAGATTGCTTAAAATCGTCTGGAAACCCTAAACCATCAATTAACATAATAGAAAAAGTATCGCTGATACTTAGTGTGTAGCACTGTTATTAGAAGCAACGTTGGTTCAGTTTCTTTTATCACTCTGTCCTGAACCCCTTGCACTCCCCAGGTCCAGTCTTACTCTAGACGATTCTGAAGATTCGAGCAGACTAGCATGGCATGACGAATGTATTCGGTAAGTTATTTATTTTCTTTCTCGCTCTCTTTTTCGTTTTTTCTTTTTCTGGATGCCACGGGAACAAAAATAAAACTAATGCAACAAAAAAAGTTCTGATCTTTCAAAAAAAAAAACCAAAATGTATCATCCACACTAGAAAATAAAATAGAATCATTTCATCAAATAATGTCCAAGAAAGAAGGTCACAAAATATGTTCTAAAAACTTGTACCAATAACAGTTACAGTAACAGTTTTATGGTTTTCGACTAGTAAAAGACATAATTGCTGTTTCCTTGAAGTATTTTTTCTAGAAGTGCTTTTCAGATTAGCTCTTTATCTAGAAAAATTCCAATATTTTAAACTTCACTGAAAAATAATAAAATAATAAAATGACAAGCTTTCAAAGATAGCTTCCTTCTCTTCAGCTGGCACTAAAGTTGTTTTGGATTGAGTCATGACTTATTCTTTATCCAATTAGTCATTATTGTTATCATCTGCATAACCTATGATACTGTTATCGTTTTCATCCTTCCAACATATCAAGTTGTCCATTACCATTGACCAATTTTATTTCGATTTTAATGTTCCTATATA